AGCTGTATTCTGTGACAGAGTGGAGTGATGTCATCACACTGACAGTCTCTGGTAAGAAAGTTTCATTTTATTATGCCTATATAAGGCACAAGCGTAACATTATATAATAACTACATAGTGTAAGGCATTAATGATCTATTGGTGCATCGTTGATTATTTATAAAAACCTTATGGCATAATAAACATTACAACTAATAATGATGAAATCATTATTCTTTATTAATGGGTCATAGCATGTTTAATGAGCATTTTTGTTGTTTATAAAGTCACTGAGTAAGTGAGGTTAAATCTTTCAACAAGATGAAGACATTAGAGTCATGAATATTAAAACCACCAACAATTTAAAGTGATCATAATTCAGGGTTATTTCACCCACAAACTCTGCAAATTCGATTTAAAAATCTTAGTGGTAGATCAGAGTGCACAGCACAGTATAAATGTCGACATTGGAAACTGGATTTGAAAACAGTTGCTAACCTTCACCTCTGCCAGTAGTGCAAAGGGAGCTGAAAACAGACAAGAGAAGGTAGTTGTAAGAATAGGCTGGACTCACCAGCACTAAGACAAGCATCTGTGGGAAACATAAAATCCTGTGAGGTGAAGAATTCATTTAACAGAAAAGCCTTGTTTGTTAATGATCTACCATTAATAAAAGTCAAATGAAATATCCTCTCCTCATATTGTAGTGGGGTGGCTTAGTGGGCGAAGATTCCCATAATCTTCATTTGCCTTGGAAGAAGAGTCTCCACTGACAAGTTCAGTAGAGCCGGATAGACAGGTTAGATCCATCGAAGCTCCAGTTATAACAGAGAAGATGGAGAAGACTGAAGGAATACTTTGAAGAACTCATGAATGTAGAAAATGACAGAGAGGATGGAAGGGGAAAAGTTAGGAAGTGCAGAGGATTAGTAGGGAGGAAGTGAGTGCAACTGATAAGCAGATGAAGAGTACAAAGGCAGCTGGTCCTGATGTCACATCAGTGGAGGTATGGAGATGTCCAGAAGAGAGAGCAGTGGGCCTTTTAGTCACATTGTTTAACACAAGCCTGAGGAATGGAGAACTGTATTGGTGCAGATTTTCAAGATCAAGTGTGAAACGTAGAGCTGTAGTAACAGTGATGAAACTGATGAGCCATAACATGAAAATATGGGAAACAGCTGTTGAAGCTAAGTTGAGAAGGGCGGTGATAATTAGTGAGCAAGCAGGATGGAGTGATGGCTAGAAGAGCATTGCAGATGTGATATTTGCTTTGAGAGTGTCGATGAAAAGGGTAGAGAACGTCAGAATTGAATGCAATTCAATTTAATATAAATTTGAACAATACTGGGAGATCAAAGTAATATAGTTATACAATTAAAAAGGACTTTGGGGAATTATCTGCAATATGTACCTCTTAAAAAGTGCAATGTCTTGGGGCACTCTCATATTTATTTCCTGTGAAGTGAGAGTGAACACAATGAGATGTGAAGTGGAGTTCTGACCTTCAGTTCTAAGGTCAGAACTTAGTAACCTTGGGGGATACTCCCACTGGGTTTAAATCTGGGACTCTTCGCCATTTAACCTTAGAACTGAAGAAGCTTCTCGGATGAGAGGTGAAACGTCTTCAAGGAACTTAAAGAAGTCCAGACGCTTTTCTTTCCAAGCTCCTTAGACCACCTGCTGTTAAATTAGTTTCTTCTACCAAAATAAATAATAACAAAATTAGACTTTGATATTTGAATATTCCTTATTAAGACCTGAATATTCAATGTGCGGTCCTAATTTTTTCATAACAGTGCATTTGTTACCAACAGATGACTGCAAAAATAAACTGAATTTGATAAAAGCATATAACTGCAAATGTTAATATTTCATATACTATGTGATGCAAACATACATACTTGGTACAGGCTTAGTGCTACTGAATAAGGCTACGTTCACACTGCAGGCGAAAGCGCATCAAATCCGACTTTTTTGA